ATTGGGGCTCCACTGGGTCCTATTCTCTGGAGCAGCAGAAGACAAGCTTGCTCCCTCCTCAGTATGACATCCCTTCAAATATTTAAACTATCATATCGCTTCTTAGCCTTCTCTTCTCCAGGCTAAACATCCCCAGCTCCCTAAGTCTTTCCTCATAGGGCTTCATGGTTTCCAGACCCTTCACCATTTTAGTGGCCCTCCTTTGGCTGCATGCTAGATGGATGGACTTTATTAAAGAGACCATGAATATGAGTTTGCAGGAGCTGGGCAGAGCAGGAGAGGACAGGGGGTCTTGGAGATGTTTCATCCATGGGTTGAGATTGATGCGAAGGCAGTTAACAACAACAAATAAATGCCTCTGGTTGCTTTATTCCTTCATTCCAAGTCCTCGGGTTGCAGTGTCAACATTTATCACTAGGGGGCAGCAAATCCTCATGATCCACTCTGTGCTCATTTGATTTTTGCAGGGTGTGTTATGTGCATTCTGTGTGTATGTGTGGAAGAGAATTCAAGCATTGCACCAAGAACCAGGAAAATGCAGCTTTCTGTATGTTGCTGAACTGCAATTTCCATCACACACAGACACACACAGACACACATCCATCTTTAAATATCTGAAGAGATGCCACGCAGAAGATGGAGCAAGCTTGTTTTCTGCTGCTCCAGAGACCAGGACAAGAACTGGGGGGTTCAAATGAAAAGAAAAGTGATTCCACCCAAACATTAGGAAGAACTTCTCGACTGTAAGAGCTGTTCACCCATGGAATAAATTGCCTCGGAGGGTGGTGGAGTCTGCTTCTTTGGAAGTTTTTAAATGGAGGGTGAATGGGCATCTTTCGGGAGTGCTGTAGTTGTATGTTCCTGCATGGCAGGGGGTTGGAATAGATGACCTTTGGGACCCCTTCCAACTCTATGACTCTATGATTGTTTGACATTTGCTACCAGTGGGTCTTGGCAGGAAGATAATGGGAGTTTGCATTGGCATTGCTGATGCCATTTTGGGATTCGGAGTAAGCTCACCTTCACAATTGGGTCCTAGAGCAGATTTGCCACAACCTATCTATCTATCTTTGCAGTTAGAGCCATGTAGTGTAGTGGTTTAAGTGTTAGACTTCGATCCTGAAGACCAGGGTTCAATTCCCGACTCGGCCATGAAACCCACTTGGTGACCTTGGGCAAGTCACACTCTCTCAGCCTCAGAGGAAAGCAATGGCAAAACCTCCTCTGAACAAAACTTGCCAAGAAAACCCCATTATAGGTTCACTTTAAGGTTACCAAAAGTCGGAAACGACTTGAAGGTGCACAACAACAGCAACAACAACGCCTTTGCAATGGGGTCCGGTGGCTCCCGTTGCCATGGGGCAATGAATACGCTCCAGTTTTTGGTTTGAATTTTAAAAGAACAGCCCACAGCAGTGAACCTGCTCCCAAATGTAGAATGCCCTCCTCTTGGAGATGGGATTGGTGCCAGATAGGAAAAGCATGGGGCCTAATGGCTTTAGTCCAAAATATCCAAGTACCTGGTTTTAAACTGTTTTAACCTTCCCTAAGACCTGTTATACTGTTTACTGTGTTTTAGTCTGTTTAAATTATTTTGATTGTTTTAAATTTTAAATACTTTTTAATGGCTTAAATGCGATTTGCTTGTACGCCACCCTGAGACCATGCGACATCAGGTGGGGCATAAATATTTGAACAAATAAAATGAGACACAAAATGGCTGAAGTGAGCCCTGCAAAAGGAAATAATGTTTCTTATGGTTCAAAATTCTACAATTCTTATAGTTCAAAAAAGTTCCACTTAAAGTTTGGTTGGAACCTCTTTATTTTTAATTTGAGGTGGAATCTCTTTTCCTGTACAGTAGTTTGTTTGCATCCATTTCTCCATTTGGCTTGTGTTCCGGTGGTGTTCCAATGTTCTAGGTCATGTTCTTTGCTTCCCTTCCCTTTGTAATGAGTGCGACTTGGCTTACTTGCTTGAGCCAGCTGCCAGTTCTTTGAGCGACAGTCTGGCTATGCATGCCTTCCTCTTCAGTTTCTTCCCCTTCTCCGCATCTGCGGGAGTCTGCTTTGTTCCTGTACCAGCTGAACATGAAAGTTCCCAAAATATCACACTTGCCACGCATGCACACAAAGCCTCAGAGGACAATCGCACAAAGGATACCACCGGCACATCTTGCCATTAATATCGTGTTTCCAGTTCTCCGAGATGAAAAGCAGTCGGCAGGCTCTTGGGAGCATTCCCTTCAGAGGAATTGGGAATGTGTTTCATTCGACCCCCGAAATTGGCTTGGAGGCTTAATTGCTATGGCTCTCTTATGTTGTGGGGGTCATTGGTGTGTGGGTTCGCAGTGTGCTCTTTGTGGCACCGTCACAAGGATGGAGCATCTGACAGCGGTGCCCATGTTGGAGATTAGTTGCATCTGAAAGCGTGGCTTTTCTCGCCCCTTCATTAGAGCCCGAGCTTTAATCAGTTTAATGAGCGGCTGAAGCCACCGTGGCTTGAGTTGGTTACCAAGAGGGACCCACTTCCATCCGCGAGTCGGTGAGTTTGCAAGGCCCCCCTATGTGAGGATTATATATTTTAGAGACAATTTCATTTCCTGCATGCTTCCTGCATAAGGGAATGGGGAAAAGATGTTAGGACTGGCCTTTTTTTCTACCTCACTCTTCCTTCCAGAGCAAAGGGGGCAAATGTGGCATTTTGGAGGAGGATTTTTCTGTCCCTGGAGGCCTCTGGAAGGCATGGGGATATATTGTGAGATGGAAACCAGGTGCATAAAATCCTAGAATCCTAGAGTTAGAAGGGACCCCAAGGGCCATCCAGTCCAACCCTTCTGCCATGCAGGAGAACACTATCAAAGCACTCCCTGTGATAGATGGCCATCCAGCCTCTGTTTAAATACCACCAAAGAAGAAGACTCCACCACATCCAAGGCAGCAGCACAGTCCACTACCAAACCACTCTTACCCTTAGGAAATTCTTCCTAACGTTGAGGTAGAATCTCTTTTCCTGTAGTTTGCATCCATTGCTCCATTGGGTCCTAGTCTCTGGAGCAGCAGAAAACAAGCTCCCTCCATCCTCAGTATGCAATCCCCTCTAATATTTAAACATGGCTATCATGTCACCTCTTAACTGTCTCTTCTCCAGGCTGAACATACCCAGCTCCCTAATCGGCTTCTCACAGGGCTTGGTGGTTTCCACCATTTTGGTCTCCCTCCTCTGGACGCAATCCAGCTTGCCCACATCCTTCTTGAATTGGGGTGCCTAGAACTGGACACAGGATTATTAAAGCAGAATAGAGTGGCACTGTTACGTCCCTCGATCTAGACACTATACTTCTATTGATGCAGCCTAGAATCACATTGGCCTTTTTAGCTGTTGCATCTCACTGTTGACTCATGTTCAGTTTGTGGTCTACTAGGACTATTAGATCCCTTTCACATGGACTGTTGTCATCAAGCTAGGTGTCTTCCATCCTATATCTGTGCATTTCATTTTTAATGCCCAAGAGTAGTACCCTACATTTCTCTCTGTTAACATTCATTTTATTAGCTTTGGCCCAGCTTTCTAATCTATCAAGGTCATTCTGAATTCTGATCCTGTCTTTGGGGTATTGGCTACTACTCCCAAGTTGGTGTCATCTCCAAATTTGATAAGCATTCCCTCTATTCCATCCTCCAAGTTATTGGGAAAGGTGTTGAACAGCTCTGGGCCCAGGACATAACCTTCCTGGCCACTTCTCTCCAAGATGAAGAGGAGCCTTTGGTGAAGACAAGCAGCTATTCACAATGATGAATCCTAAAATATCCCCCCAAATCAGTTTCAGGCTGAACCCCGGGATGGATGCCCTCCTTGTCTTGATCCAGGTGTACCTCCCTGCCCTCATCTCTACCTCCACCCCATTCCTTATGTGCCTGTCTTTTACCTGTCCAGAACCAGACAAAAGTTCTTAAATTCCTCCATCTAGCATGGCTCTTGCCTTCGCTCCAGCTCACTCCCTGCCTGCAATGGAATGACAATAATACAGAGCATGGGGAAAGTTCCATTTTTGGACTACAGCTCCCAGAATCCACATGCTGGCCTGGGGACGCAGGGAGTCACAGTCCAATAATGGGACGTTTCCTCCCAATCTCTGGCCTGCATCAGCTCCTCATCAGTGGCTCTAACCTTGGTCCGACCTCCAGGCCGCCAGCAGTTCGTCCATCCTCCAGGTCCGGTTTTGGATGAGTCCACCTGGCTCGGCACGGACTCTGACCTCCAGTCCAGTTGGGCACTTTGGCACCCTGACAGACTGACCGCTCCGTTGCCCACGGTCCAGCTCTGACACTCAGAGAGCCCTGGGGGAGATTTTGCATTTATGACAGGCGCAAACCTTCTTTTAATCTCCGAGCGGTGTTGGGGATTAACAGAGTTAAAAAGCTGTACATTTATTTCCCAAAGGAGCTGGAGGTGCCCAGACCAGTGCAAAGGAACCGGCCCTTCCCCGTTCGGTGACATATTGCTTGGCAGCTCGCATTTGAGAGTGGAAAATTGCTTCTGTTCCCATCAACTAGTTTCCATAAATCAGGCCACGGCCGGTTTAATTAACCTAAATGCACATTAATTCCAAGGGCCCCTCTAATATGCGGAGAACTCTGCATTTTGGATCACACTGTCTTGCACCGGCTGCATTAATCCCTCCTGACAGAGCCTTGATGCATCCTAGAAGGCTTCTTTCTGGTCAAGCAACTGAGGAGACAAACACACAAACACACACAGACACACAAACACAAACACATCATTTCCAAAGCCTGCTGAAAACCAGAAGATCTCATGAGACCCAGAGTGTTTCAACACCGTAGATGGCAAACTGGACATGAAAACCCAGGGGCAAATTCCTTTTCGGTATCAAAGACTTCTCAGGGTTTTAAATGCTCCTTTCTTCTCTTTACATCATCCTGATTCCTGAGGTCAAAATGAGATTGCAATAACATTGCAGTGCAAGAGTTTTATGAAACAATAGTTTAAAACAAACAAAGACGTGGCCAGGATTAACAGCCACAATACAGGCACAGAGCAGCTAATAATAAAGCCCTCTGACAAAGCAGCTCATTTGAACAAAGTCTTTTTATTCCCACCCAGCGCCACCTTTTCCTTCTCATCCTCTGTCTAGCTGGAAGCTTTTTAAAGAGACATTGGCACTGGAGGAGGATGAAGCCGGGATGGAGAAACACAGGCTTTCAATGCCAGGTTGCAATAGCGTTGTCTGCAATACACAATACTGTAAAGCTGGACAGAATGGGATTATTTTGCCAATCTTCTTGTAGCTGTGTGTGTCAGCCTGCAGTAGGCAAAGTATACAGCAGCTGCCTCCAGAAATGCATCCTGAGCATGCAGCTGGTGCCAGGTCAAGATAAAGCTTTTCAATAATACTAATTGTTATTGTTGTTATTATTATTATTATTATTATTATTATTATTATTATTTATATCCTGCCCCCTGCAGAGCAATTTTTACTAAAGCCTTTTGGGCCTACTTTAATTCAAATGTGCACATGCATGTTTTCTAATTACTGTAGGACTAAAACAGGCTGCAGAAATAATCCAGTTTGAGACCTCTTTAACTGCCCTGGTTGAATGCTAGGGAATTCTGGGAACTGTAGTGCTTGTGAGACATTTAGCCTTCTCTCTCAGAGAGCTCTGGTTCCACAACAAACTACAATTCCCAGGATGCCCTAGCACTGATCCAGAGCAGTTAAAGCCATCTCAAACTGGATTATTTTGGTAACTTGTCATTCATACTATTTTTATCCTATTTAACCTGTTTTATCATTTTAATCTGGAATCACCTTTTAATTGTTTACGGTTTTTACCTGTATCCCATCTTGAAGATCTGTGATAAAAGGTGGCACATAAAAACTTTGTTGTTGTTTATTTGTTAGCCAATGTGGCGGAGTGCTTTGGGTGTTGGAGTGTGACTCCGGGGACCAGGGTTCCAGTCTCCGCTCGGCCATGGAAAGCCACTGGGTCACCTTGGGCAAGTCACACTCTCTCAG